ATAACACTGTTATCTAAAATAAAAATGTTAGGGACAGGTGTCCTGGAGAACTGAAATATGCTCTTGATTCACTTGTAGCAACATGTCCCAGCAAGGTCAAAGACTGAGTAACCTGTGTGCTAAGTTAACCTGCTGCAACTTTCATGTTTTCCTCGGGAGATGAGCTGTTGCCTGAAGGCACAGCATTATGGTGAGACATGCTGTCATAAGAGCAATGGCATTACTGTGCTGTCTTCAGTGGAAGGCTGGAAACCTTGCCAGGCTTTTATGTAGGTCATGTCTCTGTTTCTGTGTCATTGTATGCTTGGAGCACTACAAGAAAACACAAAAACGGGTACAATTTTTTATGTGTACCCTTTTCTGACCCATCCACACAATGTAGATTAGCTTGCAAGCAAAAATTTCAGTGCTCACAAATAGTAAAACTGCAGGTAGTCTGTGTTTACTGTCTTTACAGTCCCAAAGCTCTCTTAAGAGGGTCACAGATCCACATGAGGTTCCTCAGCACAGCAAACTGCATTTGGGTCATTGGTTAGCTGAAAAGTCACGTAGAGGCAAACAGCTTCCTCTTGTCTACATGCTGGGGAAATACCATGTAATGTGTTTAATCCAGGCTGCATATGGGATAAATAGATACACTGATACAGATCTGCTCAGCTTTTAGAAGCTGGGAAGATGTGCTGCAATGGGAGATTTGTGCTGGGATGACAGGAAATGGTGACAACCTTTGCTAGGAAAAATTGTCCCTTTCTGGGGAATCCACTGAGTGATCCATCCTTGCTGTGATGCAGTAGACTACAACTCCTTTGGACTTCTGCCTGCTGGTCAGGCTGGCCTGTTGCATGGTAACAAGTGAAATTGTCCTGTCCTTGCTGTAGATAACCCACCTGCAGCCTGCAGGACTCAGCGATGCTCTCACAGTGGGCATGGAAATGCTTGTCTACAGGTTGGCTCTTTTCCATAGCTGTGTCAGTCTCTTAGACTTTATTGTGACTGAAGTGTGATCATTTTGCCTTTTCTGTATTTGGGATTTGAATTTCAGAAAGAGATGAGTGCTCTAGAGCTCTGTTAGAAGTCAGTATCTGTGCAACTTCAGGTGACAGAAGCTTGGGAGACTTTCTATCAGATTCACAATTTTTAAGAAAAGAGAGGGGTAATTTATAGACAGCAGCATGCCTAGGGGCCTGGAGGCTGTGCTAGAATTTATCTAGCACTAGTAAACATATGAAAATGTGAGGTCTTGTGACTGGAGCCAAGGACAGCAACCTTCTAGAAGTGTCCAAAGTCAAAAACATTTCTGATGTGCTGAACTATCAGCGACTTTAAAGGTGATATCTTGCCTGTCCCCATAGCAGAAAACAAACCTTTCAGGGAGGTAATGTACTCCTTGTCTCCAGCAGCAGCACAGTGTTTATGCACTTATGTGGGTCCTGTGTTACACATTCCCTATTGCCCCGCTGTCCCTACCCGCTGTGGCTTGCCTCAGCTGTGGAAACAGGAACTGCTGAGTCAGCAGGCTGATGAAACTCACGCTGCTTTCACACTTCTCTGGGGAGACTGCCACAGCAAGGAGGTTGGCAGCAACTTACATTCAGGAGAAAAAAAAAAAAAGAGTACTTCAACTGTCTTGCAATTGCCTGAAACAATATTCTGATTTTTAAAAACCTCTCAAACTGAAGGAGGCTGTGGGACCCAAGCGCTGGTGGCAGATGAATGATTACACCTGGCACACGAGCTCATTGTCAAGTGCTTGGAGTTCAGCAAGTGTCATTTTCCTGTTCTCTCTCTTGATCAGCTCAACTACATTTTACAGAGCTGAAATCCAACTGGCTGAAGAGACAGAATAAGGACATCGAGTTCAGCTCAGCTGTCTGGTAAGGATGGAGAGCAGCAGCCTGTTCTGATTACAGACTCATGCAGAGGTGAAACTGCTCCCTTGGAGCTGGTACAAGATAAGGAACTGTGAAAATTCAAATAAGCCTCTCAGAAGAGCCAGGTCTCCCGAAAAGCACAAGTGCCAAAGAGGAAAGAGATTTGGCAGTGACTGCATCTCTGAGAGCAACATATCCATGGCACAGTAGAGAGTAGCTAAGGTCAGCTAAATGGATGGGAAGGGGAACGTTAACTGCCAAATGGTTTGAAAACTAGAAAGAGAACCAAGCTGAAAAAGATGGAGACATTCCAGGAAGCTATTCTACTAAGGATATAAATATGGTGTTATCAACAAGCTCAAAGTGAACAAAAGCAGCTTTAGTAGCAAGAAGATGGCAGTTAACTGCTCCAGGTACTATCACTACAAAAGCAACACCTTCCACCCAGATGCCCCTGGTCTGCTTTGATTTAAATGAGGTCTGCTTATTTCAGCACCACGATGTTTACATGTCATTATTTTTTACACTTATTAGAGAAATTTAACAATATGCGATGCCTGTTTCTTGCTTTGCTTATCATGAGATTTGTAAGTTGAAGCTCCAGGCTGAAATATGCCTGTTTAAGGCAATGAGGCAGCAGAGATGCATGCGTGGGTTGCAATTATCCAGGGTCATCTCCCTGGGGCTGCTGATCCAACCCATGTAGGAGAGAGTTTGTGTTAAGGTTGCAAGGGGGGGCTACAGAGCTGTAAACGAGAAATCATTAGACTATACATACTTATATGTGTACAGTGGATTTTCTGTGACTGTGACAGAACATTTACAAGCTCCAAAGCTACTATTTTAGCAGGGGCTGACATTGAAAGCACAGTAACAGTTGAGAAGAGGTAGTCTGCAGGTCGGTAAGGATATTCTGTCAGTGGATGGATACTGGTAACACGGGATCTTAGTGGTATGCATGAAAAATGTATCATAACAGTGATCTAGGAAGAGAAAACAGAGGCTGGTACAGTCCAAGTATTCAAAGCAAAGCAAAGCAAAAAACAAACAAACAAACAAAAAAAAAAAACCAAAAGAAAAAAGCAATAAAAACATGTGCCTATTTGATGCTTGCAAAACTCTGTTTGGAGAGTCAGAGTACAATGCCTGGAATCTGCAACTTAAGAAGGGAAGTTGTTAGCATTTATGTTTGCCTGCTGTCACATCTTTTGAGACACAACTAGTTCATCAAGAGTCAAAGTGACAGAAAGGCAGAAGATATGCTGTGCCTAAAAAACAGGTTAAAGCATCACAAATGACAAGTTTTGAATAAATAGTTTCAAATCTTTTTCTGAGGAAGTGGAAGGAAAGCACTGGTACCTAGCTGTGTATAAGGAGAGCTGGAGAAGCTGCAGGCAGGTACACACGTGCACACATTCACTCTGGCACACAAAGAGGGGGAATTTGGAGGCCAAGTCTCAGATCTGCCTTGGGGAAGCTGAACAAAGATACTGTAGGTGCTCACCATGAATCTTGTTACTTGCTGTTTATTTTTAATGCTAAGATTCAACCACATGCTGCTCTAAGAGGATTGTTCTGCCAATTTCAGTGCCAATCAGAGGCTCTCAAATTAAGGTCCAGGCACCATTAGGCTGCAGCTTAGCTCGTCTGAGCAGGGAGCCGCTGACTCCCGCAGGGGCTGCGAGCTGGGAATTCCCACCCAGCTGCAGTGAACATTCCCTCTGTCAGCAGAGGTGGCGCCCAGCAATACATCTTTGGCCTTCGCTTACAGGGTCAATGATCATCCGGGGAGGCAAAGATTACCATCCTCTAAACCGTAAAAGCAGAGCAGAGCGCTACAAGTGATCTATCGCCCCAGACAAACTGTTTGCTCAGGACTGCAGCTCATCAAAACATTGCCCAGCAAACACTACGCAATGTTGGGAGTGTTGCTCAAGTGCCTCATTTCCCTCTAGTGCTTCAAATGCCTGTCCTCTGCAGGCATGACGCGTTTTAACATAATACGAATTATTTTACTAAATTGTTTACAGCTGTTAGCAAAGTAGTGCTCTTGGCTTGGACAACCAGCTGGAAAAGATGAGTAACTTGTCGCAGTTGCCCCACCCATCCTTATTTATGTTTGAGAAGAAGAGGCAGCGCTGCTGGTATTGCCACATGGCATTATTTGAACGCGGAGAGGCTTTTTGCTTGCGTCGAATGCGGAGTAAACAAAGTGCGGCGGTGTCGGGCAGAGGCAGCAGTGCTTTGCTTTAGCCACCAGAGCGAGCTGCTGCTCAACTTTTGAGCGAAGCCGGGCCCGCTCCCGGCGCTGCTCCGGGAGGAGCGCTCCCGTCGGCGGCCGCGCACGGGCACGGCTGGGAGCCGCAGCCGCGGGGCCGAGCAGCCGAGCCTAGCGGGGCAGGGACAGCTTCGGCAACAGAGAGAGCTGTGCTCAATAAACACCCTCCAGGTCAGAGGTGCAGCGTGGAAACCAACCTTCCGAGAGTAGAGTAGGCTGAATGTGGAGGTTATTCTAGAAACAGGTTGGATCCTTCCCACTGTAAAGAAAAGTCTCTCCCCTTTGCTGCAGCAAGAGTTCTGTGGGTAGAGTCCTGCATGACAGTCAGCCAGTTCACATTTGTGCATGAAAATCAAGTGCTTAAGCATGGAGTTTGAGATTTTTCTGGCGGTTATATCTAGTGTTAGCAGAGGAATCTGCTAATACAAGACTCTGCTAATACAAAAGCCACAGAACAGATATTAAAACCAGCTTGAATGCCAAAGTTGGATACAGATTTACAGCTCAGCTAAAGCTTATTACACTGCTATTGACTTCACTGGAATAGTATCTGTTGCTTACAAAGTCAGACAATCTTATTATTCATTAACATTTTTAATAAAGGGTAAAACGGATCAAAACCTGGCTGTCAGCCGTTCAATTTTACCACTAAGGCAAGTGTTTCTTTTTGGCAATTAAATGCTACTGAGGAGCAGCTCAGAAGTGCTAAGTATGGGGCCTTACATTTTATTATCCCTGCTCTTTCCCAGTGGTTACTGATTCCTGTCAGTGAACCTTTCAGAGGCTGGCCAGATTCTGATGGTTATGATGCTTTCAGATGTTCAGGGCAGCAAATAGTTTCCAGCTGACGTTCATCCTTGCTGATTTAATTCAATAAGGCGACCAGCAAATACAGCTAATGTTCCTATAAAACAAACTAGCATAAATATGCCAAGGAGGAGATGATCAAGCACCATTGCAACAAACTTCCATTCTTCTGCAGCCTGGGAAAGAAACAAAGGAGATGGTAAAATCTCTGCAGAGCACTGTTTGTTACAGCATTCCTGTAATTCACTGTCTTGAACAAGGGGAAGGCTCTTCCCTAAGTGCCTTTATTATTGCTATGCAAAAAATGCTCATTTTCTTCTCAGAAGCAGGTCAGTGGTTAAGAAAGCCTAAGCAACCTAGAAATACACGTTTCAACACTAAACTCACCGGAAACCCTGGCCATTTGCTGAACAATTTCATTTAAAAAAACGTTGAAAAGCTTAATTATTAGGCCAATTGTTGCTTCTGAAAGAAAGTTTAAAATCTTGAAAGCAAAATGCTTAGTTTGACCCAAATTACTTTTGTTTTTCCATTGCTTTTTTGTTCTCATGGGATAGCTAGGCAATTCCTAATAATTTAACCCTAATGCCTGCTTTCCATACACTCTAATACCTTGTAAAACCTTCTTGGTAGCTCCATTTTTCTAGTAGTGGGACACCATGAACCACTTGCTCTGTACCTTTTCACTGGATGCTTTTGGTGGGAACCCAGCACAGTAAGAGCATGCAGAGTGCAAGGCACTGAGTACAGCAGGGCTCGTGATTTCCACCCTGGAACTCCACCTGAAGGAGTGACTTGTGCTGGCCTAAAGCACCTTCTGCTTGTGCCTTAGTTCTCCCACAGGTAGAACAGGCTGTTGTCATTTATCTAGAGGACACTGACAATCACTACTGCTTTGAGGTGGTGCAGAAGCAAATGCAATGAAGTGATAGCCTTCAGAACCTTAGGTTTATTTAGGGAACTTGACTTTTGAAACCCCCTGGAAGTGATAAATCACTAGTGTCCAGATGACACAAACAGCTGGGCTCCACTTCCGAAGGGGGCATCTGCTGGTAACCTGAAGACCCTCCTTGTAAGCCAGGGAGGAAGTGGAGCCCAGAGATGTTGAAGCCATGCCAGCCCTGCTGAAGACAACAATTTGTCTGCAGAGAGGCGAAGGAGTCACGGGGAACATGAGACTACAGCCAGAGCCATTTCACATGCTCCAGGAATTTGGTCACAGGAACAAACACCGTGGTGTAAATCCTGTCCAGGGGAAGGAAGCACCTCCTTTTCAAGAGAGTGGGTCAAATTATTTTGTCAGAGAGCTCCCCTGTTTTCAGACTAGCCTGCTGCTCAACAGGAGAGGTCTATAACCACCTAGGAAGGTGAAATACCAGGACTCAATTACCCCTGCAAAAGCTGTGTGAGCTGTGAAAGCTGAAATAAAAGAGGGGTTAATTGTACTGAATGTGCTAGAAGGAGGCAGAGCTAGGTTTTCCTGGGGAACACTGCCACGTGTGACTATATGCTTTTATCCTTCCTTTGGCTTGCAATGTGGAAAAAGTCAGTAATCAGAGTAGCTCATAACATACTTAATTTGGAGGGACTGCTTGTATTCAGGAATAAAACAAAACCTTATCAAAATTGGAAAGATAATTTGTAAGTTACATTTAACACTTCTCAGATAACACTACTAGGCTTTTGGAGTTTGCCTTGCTTCCTGGCTTTTCAAAAGCAGTAGGATCAATCTTACTACAGGGGCAAGATGCCTGAGTGGGAGACAGAAGAAATGTGTTTTGGAACTTGCTTACAGTTCTTGAAACTGGTTTCCTACTCACAGACACTCCATCTCTATGGCTTCACATATCACATAAGAAAACCTTAGCACTGACACTTTTTCCTTTTCTATTATTTTGGGAAGCCAATATTCAATTAACATCTGTGACAATTATTTGTTGCTCCTTGTTGACTCCCTCAAGGGGAGAAGATTGTCCGCTGCTGGAGCCAAACCAGGGCTTGGAGTGTTTTTGTAAGGCAGGGATATTTTGCCAAAAAAGTAAGATGTAGCAACCTGAAAGCTAGAAATGAATAATGCACAAAAAAAAGGGCCTTACATTACTGGCTTCTTGGTCCGATTTCATCGTTTCTGCAATGTATTTGATTCCTTCTATAGCATTTTTCACATCTGGGTTTTTGGTAAGCGGGGAGTAGAAGTTGACAGGCACAGAACCTGACTTCCCAGAAATGTCAGAAATATCAATATCTTCTGCAAAAATATTTTTGTCTTGTTTGTCTCTCGATGGTCGTTTCATTGTAGAGAAAAACATGACGTTTGGGATTGTGTCAATAAAGATCTGAAAAGAAAGGGAGAAGATGACAGTTGCTGCTCTGTGGGGCTGTGTCACAGCTGCAGCTGTGCTGAACAAAGACAAGGCTCTCCCCTCCCAGATCGCTTCCCGTGCTGGGGCTGCTGCAGATTCCCTCTCTGGCTGTGTCACAGCCCACGCCTTACTTACACCGGGGCTTTTGTCAGCTCGTGTCCCGGGGCACAGGGAGTCCCCCGCAGGCCTGCAGCGGGCTTGCTGCCAGCCATCCCCCTGCCCTGCAGCAAACATCCACACGTGAGGCAGAGGGTGATGCCATGAAGCACATCCTCAGCTGGCACGGGCTGACAGAGCTCAAGCCATCCCATCTAACTTGAAACACATTGCCTACAAATCTGACTTGAAGAATGGACTGCAAAGAAACTCTTTTGGCTACTTGGGTTTGATTTTGCTATTATGAACGTTTGCTATACAGGCATATAAGATTTACAGTAAGAGACTTGCTGCCAGAGCAATGTTAAGCACATGCAGCATTTCCTGTTGAAATTTCCCTTCTGCAGGGGTTGTTTGTGCCGCAGAGGGAATCTAACATAAGCTGTAACCTTAAAAACATAATTAGAAATACACAGAAAAACCTCCTTTTGTGTCATGGTTTAGTATGAACCCAGGCAGGCTTCAAAACAGCAAGGATTCCTGAATAAATCAGATGATCTTTGATACTGTCTCCCTGGCAAAGAACTTGTAATGACAGACAGCCAATTTTTTCTATGTCTTCTGATTACCATTTAGACTCCTGTGCAAGGATCTCCCAAGGGCTGCAGAGCAACTGTATACTGGAAAAGTACAGAGAAGATTTTTTAGCTTTTGCTAAACCATTCTTTGCAAAATAGGATGCTGAACTCAGGTATCCCCAGTGGCCTTTGTGCTCTGCACTCATGCAGGCTGGTGGCTGGCCACTGGCAAGCAGCAGTGCCTTGCAGTCAGTGGAGAATTAGGCCAGGATACATAATTCGAGTCCAGATGGATATTTTCTTTTCCCATTCCCTACCTTTAGCTGCCCATGTTTTGTCTCATTTGTTCCCTGCAAGGCTCTACCCCAGTGGACAATTTTGTTACCCCAAGGAGCACTTTGACAATCTTGCTGACTTTATGCACAGCTAAGCAGTAAACACTGGCTCTTGTGCTCTTTAACGTGATGCATTTACCGCCCCATTCTTTTTGACTTTTATTAGAAGACCTGCCAATAAAACACGGAGCATTTGGTGGAAACCAGCAGGTGTGCCAAGGCACAGAGCTCACCTTCCTGACCCAGGGGGGCATGGTGTGCGTGCTGGGCGAGCGGTGGTGGGTGTTGATGACGATGACGGTGATGATGATGGAGGCGATGACAAACACCATGGTGAACAGCATGTACTTGCCAATCAGAGGCACTGCGCTGGAGGTGGAGGGAATCAGCTCCACGATGACCAGCAGGAACACAGTCAGAGACAGCAGGACAGAGATGCTGAGGGTCATTTTCTCACCTGTCATAAAAAAGTCCCCCAAAATCATTGCTGCTCCTATCATTCAGTACAGAGAGCATTGATTTGAGAAGCAAAATGTGGATGAGAGCTGTTCACACAAACACCTGTGTGCATTTGCAGTGCCATCATCTCTGCCAGCATCCAAAGCAGCAAGTAGGCTTGGCAAACCTGAGAGCCTAACAGCATCAGCTCCAGCACTAAGGTGGGAATTACCAGGAATGACTGGGCTGAGGTGTGGGTGCTGAATATTTTTACTTGCTGGGAGCATTTCGTGGGCTCTGCATTTTGAGCAATGCAGCATGTGCACCTTCGTGCTTGCTCCACAGCTTCCTGAGGGTTTGCTTCCCTTACTCTCTGTCTCTGGGCTGAGAGAGCAGACTAAAAGCACATCTGACATCAGGTCAGTTGCTATGCGAGATCTCCTTCCATGTGGAGGGTGTCAAAAATGAATTACAAAACATTATTCACACTTTTTTTTAAATCCAGTTCAACTTTGTAGAAAGTTTTCCACTTGAAAAAATACATCAAGTATTTAATAAGAAGGGGCTTACACTGCAATTAAGTGGTATGAAAAGCTGACAGAAGGCAAAAAGAATGAATCAGAGGAAATGGTTGCAGGGAGCATGAGTGGCTCAGCAGAGACAAAGGAGGCCAGAACAGGTCAGGATTACTCTGTGTCACACGAGGTGATGTGTGTGTGAGCAGGTAACAAGCTCTCTGCTCTGACAAAATGCAGAAGGGCCTCTGTCACCCCTGTGTGCTCATTTTACTGCTGGACATACTAACACACTGACTACCTATGGCAAAACATAAAAATTACCCAGCTAAATCTTTAGTTTGCGTAAGTTAACTGGACAGCTAGTCAGCAATTTCTGTGGGAAAGCACCCTAATTTATTTATATCAATAGTTTCAGTTTTCAGCACTTATCCTTTCTTTGCAGAATATTTAAAGCCATTACTTTCAGTGGAAATGTCCAGTTTTAGCATGCACTGGCCTTCAAGTTGGCTGATGGTTTCAAACACTGTGAATTTCTCAGGAATTTCTTAGAAGAGCAATTTCTATGGAAGTAGAACGAATAAACTTACATACCTGAATCTGTGGGTAGGTAAAAAACGAGCCCTGTTAGAAAGGAGAAGAGCAGGCAGGGGATGATGACGTTGACAATGAAGTAGAGGGGCAAGCGTTGCATGAGGAAGTGGTAGGTGATGTCCAGGTAGGGGGTGTCAGGGCAGCAAGCGTAGTAAACCCAGTGCTTCCAGCCACGGTAATCCTTCATCACCCACTCCCCGCTCTCCATGAAGTTACTCAGGTCTGGACGATCACTCTCCTGCCAGCAAAACACCCCAACAAATTCTTAACACCAGGTATTCTGAACCAAATCAAAACTTAGTAGGTTTGGCTCAGGAACAGGATTCCAAATAACTCATGCACTTTGTGGGGGTTTTTTGTGAGTAAACAGCTCTTGTCTATGGTCTTTTTCCTTAGAATATCAGCCTATACACAGCATTCAACTGAATATTTTACAGAAACAGTCAGGGATAGTAGACTGAAAAATGTTACAGTTAGGAGACATAAATGAGGGGACAGGGAAGGAGCCTTTGGCAGTGGAAAGTCATGAGCAGAGAAAATATACCCCCTTAAAAAAACTCTAAACCCGAGAAAACAAACAGAAGCAGGACAGACAGCACCATGAAAAGTGGTGCAAAGCTGCCAGAGGACAGACAGGAGACTGTTATGGCACAGGAATAAATATGTAAGAAGAATTTAGGAGCCAAACCAGGAAACCTTGTGTTAGATCTACAAATGAGAATTTTCTCTTTTACAGGTAGCGTCTGCTTGTTTTTCCTGTCAGAACTAGGTCATATTCCATTCCAAATCTGAGATTTCTCTTAAAAACACGTACAGGCCTTTGCTGCTTTTCCCAATTACAGCCTCCTTGCTTACCGGGTTGATAACAACCATTGTGCCATCATATGTCCAAGTTCCCAACTTCATACTGCAGTTCTGCTGGTCAAATGGGAAGTGTGTGACTATAATTTCACAGTAACTCTTAAAAATGGCTGGTGGTGTCCAGGTGATCCGACCTGTGTGCTCCAGAAGGACTTTGGTGTATTTTACAATGGCAAAATCCCCATCTGCACTGCAGAAGGAACAAGGACATTGAAAGCGATATGGGCAGCATAATCAACAGAGTCACAAAAGGATTTCTCTGGCTGCGGGTCAAACGATGCCCCAGTGCCTGCTCCTGGAGAAGCTTACCCTGAGGAATTGGACCCACTGGAACAGATGTCATGGGAAAACTGTCCCACTGGGGTGGTGCCACAAGGCAGAGATCCTCCCCCCTCCCTCCCTCCCTCCCTGAGCAGCTGGCACCCCTTACTTGTTGTAAAGAACAAGGTCTGGCCGCCAGATATCATCTGAGGGGATGCGGATTTTTTTTACACCACCGTAGTCATCTGGATTCCATCGGAGGTTGACGTCTGTCCATTGCTAAAGAGGGAAGATTTCAGCCCCTGAGAGCTTCTCCCAGCACTGGGGTTAGTTTGAGTACTTCCCAGAAACAGCTCCTCCCTTGCTTTGGGACATGTAGGTAAGCATAAACATATGGCAGTGGGACCCCCAGCTCATTTTTTACATTAACTTATACTTTGGTGTAAGAAGCTTATTAAAAAAAACCCCAAAAACTCCAAAAGCAAATAATATAAAGATATCAGAAGTGTACTGTTTGAAATACAACCCCAAAAGCTTTTCTTAAAACTCCTAGCATCTAGAGCACTTTATTCTCTAGATCTCAGTAAGAAGAAATGCTCTGCTATCTGACCCACCTCTCCAAGCTGCCCCCAAAGGTATGAGAGTGTAGTTAATTCCTGATTGTGTCAAGTGCATTTATTTGAATTAGATGGAATGGTTAAGAATATTTGGCCTTACCTGTTTCAGGCGCACATTGGTTGTCACAATCTGATTTACTTCATCCTTAAAAAAAAAGGAAAAGGGAAAAAAAAAAAAGCAGGCGGTATCAGCAAGCATCAAGATTACAGGATACAAATTGTTTCCTTAGAAAAACACCACCATTTGGCACTATCCCATGAGCCAGGGGCTCAACACTGCCCGTGTCCATAGCGTACCACGCTGATGAGCTGGATGAGCTGCAGCCCCACGGTGACAACGACGGCGTCCCGATGGTCCTCCACGGGCCGCACCACCTTGTTGTAGTTACTGAACAAGTGCTCCACCAGGCGAGTCTCATCCTCATAGCCCAGGGCCAGCCCCGCTGCAGAACAGTCAGGAAGGAGAACAATGGTCAGAAGGGGCAGGGAACAGGCTAAGCACCATCAGTCTGAGGCTGGCATGCAGGAAGGCTGCCAGGCAAGCTGCTGGTGGGGGATAATAACACCAAGTCCTCCCTGTGACAATGGCCTCCCACCAGGAGATGAACAAATGCAAACAGGCAGGATCATGGGCATCAGACTGAACATTAGGAGTCTTCCAGCCTGAAACTGTGCTAACATGCAGTACTTATGGGCAGGTAAACACAGAAAATGTCCAGTCTCAGGGGTTTCTAATGTTGCCTTTTCCACCTTCAACTCCACAGACCTGGCTGTGACGCTGACATTAAAGGTGAGGGCCAAGCACACGAGTCATGGAGAAGGCATCACCATCCCCACTCCTTGCATCTGCAATCTAAGTGGAACAAGAGCTCCTCTCCACAATGGGAGTTGCTGGGGTTGTGCAGGTGGTGAGAGAAGGAAACCACTCTCTGTGTGGGGTAGGTCCATGGACAGCTCTGCCCACAGGCTGCCCAGCATGACTTGGCTGTGCTGTGCCAAAGAGCCTTGAAAGAAAAATTTCACAAGTGAAAATGGCAGGGAGCAGCCCTGTTCCAGTGGAGCCTTCACAGTGCTGTGCATGGCACTGCAGTGCCAAGGAGCAAGGGCACTGGAAACAGATGGGCCCTGCCTCCAGAGAGCCTGGGGCAAGGGGAAGCAGGCACACAATGCCCTCAGATGGTAACTGCTTCACTGCCACAGGGCAGGAAAGCAAATGGAAGGGGTGCCTGGGGATGTTTCTGTGTCTCCCCTCTTAAAGGTAGTGAGAGGGATCAGAAGAGTTGAACCTCACTGCAAACATTTTTGGCAGATTGCACCCTCGTCTCCCACTCTCTGTTGAATCCTGGGCCGCAGAAGTCAACAAGAATTTTGCTGCTGACTCCAACCTAAGCTAGGATTTCTGCTGGTTTCCTAACTGACTTTTCATCAACTTCTTTTACATAGCTGATCTGAGATTGCCAAGGATTCTGCCTTGGCCTTTGTCCTGCCATAAGATTACATTAAAATACTTGGATGCCAATCAGAAAAGCTGTCTGTTGCAGACAGACACTGTTTGCTTCCTCTGCCAGGAGGCTGAGCAAGGGTAGGCAGGAGGCATCTTTCAATTTTTAAGTTATGATTACAGCATCACATAATTGAAGCTCTATGCTTTATTAACACAATTAAAATCCTTTGACATTTGCTCCTTTCTGGTGTAGCTTGGTAGGAATTTAGGATACTGCTTGAATTTTCTGAAAAGCTTTTAAGATCACAAATATTTATTCTTTTAAGGGACAGTTTAAAAAGAATTAGTTCTGTACAACACATGCAGCTGCCAATCAATTCTACCTCCTTGTCAGTCACCCCACAACTTAATGAAACTTTTTGTAATGATTTTTCCCATTCCAAGTCATGCTTACTAGATTCTTTCCCATATTCTGAAATACAGGTAGCACTAAGGCAAACGGGAGCATGAAAAACATATTGCAGAAACAAAACCAATTAAACATGAACTTCTCCACTCAAAATATCTGGTGCCTGAAATTACAAATATCTGAGATGCTACTAATGCACCCCAAAGCTTTCTTTTAAACGATTAGGTGTGTTCATAAAACCTTACCAGTGGGACAGGCCCCTCCTGGAACACATCCTTGCTCGTGCTGAGGTATATGCAGAGCCCTGGAAGGAGACACCCCCCCTTCAAGGCAACAGCTGGAACAGCTTACCTGTGCAGATGAGGAGGAGGAGTACACAATGGACCTTCATCATCCTCTTGCCTCAGTCATACAGATGGAGCACACACAAAGCACCTCTGAGTCTCCTCAGAGGGGACTGTGCTGCCTCACCAGGGTGCTGCCAAAGTACACCCAGCAGGGTATTGCTTTACAGCACCTGTTCTGGGAATGACAGCTGGGGGCCCCTGCCCACCGGCTGGAAACGGGAGCACAGTGTGCTTCACCCATCAAATATCTTCTGTGGTTTACAGAGGGTCATTTTCCTTCTAAGTATCAATGTGGTCTGTGACTTACTAAACAAATACACGCACAAATAAACTAAAAAAGAATTATCTGTAAGTAACTGAACATCTTGGTGAGATCTCAGAAGCTTTTTGTGAACAGAGCAACTTGTCAGGTTTAAGGTTTTGTTTCTCTGAGACAAAACAGAGCACAGTCACTAATTTCTGATACACCCCCACCAGTGTACAGACAGCATGCTGGGAAGAGGCTGCTCCCCTGGCTTCACAGAGGGATGGGAAAGCTTTGAAGTAAACAAATATTCTCAAGAGGGATCCATCTCCTTGAGTCTATCAGCACTCCCTGGTAGAGTCCCCACCTTGGAAGGCATTAACTAAGTAAGAGAAGACACCTCACCCTCCTGCTGCCACATCTATACTTAGTGGATTGAGAAAATCAAGTGGTAGAAACATTTCTAGTTTGTTTCTACAGCAGGGCAGATCCAGTGGATTTCTGTAGAGAATGCAAGTGCTTGCTCTTTATTGCCATAAATCACCTGTAAAGGAGGGAAAAAGTGATATGTTTGGTAATAATACTCAGTCATTCAGGTTAGCAAAGAAAACAAGAAACAGTGGAGATTATATATATATATATATATATATATATATATATATATATATATATATATATATAAATTTAAAAAATATATACACACACATATATACACACACACACACACCTATCTACCTCATATATACATGATTATCTACTCTGAGCTCAACAACATCACTCAGGAACAAAACCTTGAGAGAGATAGTCCTGTGAAGTGTTCAGCAGCATGGGAAAAGCAAGCCCATCAGTTTCCAGGACAGGAGATGAAGCAAAAAGGAAAGATGCCACTATAAATCTGTGAATGTTCTTTGCAGTTCAGGTCATCTGGTTTCAAAAGACTTGGAAGAGGCCCAAGAGAAAGTGACAACAACATCCACAGTGCAAATTGGCTTCTGTACCTGGAACAGATAAAGAGTATGAACCATCAGTCTGAAAGCAAGACAGAGAACTTTGGTAGGGTCTGTAAAATCCCACATGGTCTGGAGAAGGCAGATTTGGATTCACTTGCTGTCCCCATGCAAAATAGTAGGGGGTATTGAGGTAAAATTAGAGTTGTCCAGCTTAACCAAGACAGCTCTTCACAGAGTGGGTCTGCAGTGGAGTTGGGTGCCACAGGAGCATCTGTTTGCAGAGGTCTATCTCTGTTCAGAAAAAATAGTCTGCTAAATAATTTTATACTATTGAATGTGTACACACACAGACATAGACACACACTCTCTCCCCCTAAGAAGTCTGTCACTGAAGCCCCAGAGTCACGAGTCTCAGGACTCTGGGGTGGTGTCCTGGGGATAGATTGCCTGATGCTAATGGTGTTCTTGCATTTTTCTCAGGCAGCTGCCATGTGGAGATAGGGCGTGGCTCTGGGTGACCTGCCACAGCCATTCTTACACAGTGTTCCAAATTCCCTTTTCCAGAAAGCATTCCCCATAAAACCCTTCCTTAGTTTTGCCTCTGGGTGACACCAGAGGTATTTTCTATTTCTGCTGGATATCCTTTGTGCTGTCTGCCAGCTGGCTTGGTGTTTCATGCTGGATGCCTTTATTATTATTTTAATTATTTTTTAATCACTTTCCCTCACCCATCCCCCTCCACTAAGCATCCAGCCTCTGCATTTACATTTATCCTCCAGTACAAACTCTCCATCTACATAACTCTGGCCTGGTTCCTGGCCAGCAGCTCCCATTGTTGCAGAGATCTTATTTCAAACCCGCGTCTGACTGCTCCCAGCCTTTATCCCAGGCCAGCAGCTGCCGTGGAGATACAATTGCATGGAGGCATTGTGGGAATGCTGACCAGGGCCCTCCGGATCCTCTCAGGGTCCCAAAGCATTCCTGCCCACCCCAACAGGGCTGCCAGGTTGGCTCCAAGAGGGATGAGTGTTACCACACTCTGGCACATGACAGCTCTTGTCTGACAGAGGTGTCTGTCCCTCCTGACAGGGTCTGTCCCTTGGAGCTGGCAGGGTGCAGAGGGAGTGGGGGCCCCAGCAAGTCTGCAGCCCCAGCAAGGGGTTGTGGTTCTTGCCCCAGCCTGGGAGCAGCCTCCCCCGCTGGCTGGAAGTCAGCGCTCGTGTTGGAAGAGGAAGGAGCAGGTATTTGGAGAAGGCCTTTGGGGAGCAGCAGCCTGGCTGTGAGAAATGTTCCCTGGCAGAGGCACAAAGCCTTTTATCTCGCAAAAAACCCAAGGCAACCTGAGCTACTGCAGTTAAATATGGACAGAGAAGTGAATGCTGCTTGTTGTTCAGCTAGGGAATGTGACCCATCATGACCGAGGTGAAAAAGCAAGGGAAGGGGCTGAGCTACTCTGAATGCCTGAATTTGACCAATTGCTAGGGTAGGTATTTTTCTTTTTTCCTTCAGAGTATTCAGCAAATTTTTGACAAATGTTTCTTTCCCACACAAAAATCCCTTTTAACATCTATCTTGACTGCAACCTTTTCAGCTTGTTTTTATGAGCCCCCTCCCCATCCTTCACACAAACCCACTACCCCCATAGTAATGGCAGACCAGCCTCATTCAGATGGATTGGAAAGCAGCAAACTCACTGCTTGCTGGATGTAGGGCATGGCTCCTTCCATCCATGTATGAGGAACAAGCCCTGCAAGGGCTCCTGCCCAGGGGAAGGCAGCTGTGAACCAATATTCCTGCAGGTAAGGAGCTTTGGCAGAGTGGCACTGCACAGACACGGGCAAGGTGAGCAGAACACTTCATGCTTTGGACAGAGTGGGGAATACAAGGTGTTAACTGAAATTTCTGTCACAGAACTGCATGCAGAAAGGCAATGCCCGATGGAAGAGAGCCGGTGCCAGAGGCTCCAGCAGACACACGGACAGCAGGGCCTGAGGGAGGGTGGAGGTGCTGAGAAGCAGAAGCAAAACTAACCAAAAGAACAGAGAAAGGTTAGAGAGTACATCAGGGAAATTAAAGGAACGAAAGCTTGAAAATAATAGCACTGTCCAGCAGTTTTAGCTTCAGTTTTCAAATGCAGTATATACCTTTATACATGCATTTTTGTATCGGGAAAATGGCATTGCTGGCGGCAGTAGATGATGGCAGCACTGAGTGAGGCAGATGGTAGACAAGTATTTGTGAGTTTGCCGTGCGCTCGTTCCCAGATTTACCCGCTTCCATCGTGGCACGCGTTCCCGCTGGATCCCGGCCGCTCGGCTGCACGGCCGCCAGATGGCAACAGCTGGATGAGCGATGAGCTGCACACGGGGGCGCGACCGCGAACCGACCCCGGCAAGAGAAAACGGGGAGCAAACATTTTCAGAGGAAATTCACAAGGAATTAATGACAGTCTTGAGATGCTGTACTTACCCGGTTTATTCCAGTGCCCATAAGAACGTGCTCAGCATTAATGTACATGTCAGAACATATTGATAAGCAAGATTAAATTCCTCAAACCAAGAAATCCAAAGTTGCAGTTTTCCATACTCAGACACATCTCCACCAACCCACAAAAATGTTTTATCACCACGGATGTTTGTGGCAAGTTTGGTTTCAGCAGATATTTTCTCTGTTTTCTATTACATCACCCAAAGGAACTGAAAATACCAAAAGCTTGCTCAAAAGTGGTGATCTTAAACTCTGCAATTACAGAGCTTTCATATTATGGCAGAGACATGGTGCACAAATACCTAATCTGAATGATGCCTCTGGAAAGAAAATAAGAACTTGAATCTGGAAAGAAAGAGAAGAACAAGGAAAAGGCCCCCAGTCAAACAGGGAAACCAGAGCCACAAAAGACATCATTGGATGTCTCAAGTGTAAATCTAATGCAAGTGAGAAGAGACACTGCTCACCTTTAAACTGGCACTGGTCCTCATGGTCACACTTCTCAGACAAAGGACACTGTCAACAGAGGCTTATTTACCCACTTTGGGCAAGGCAGTGCCCAAGGCAGCAAGAATGAAGACAGGAATAACAGAAGACAGAATCAGGAGATGTGACAGGCACAAGCTGAGCAACCACAAGATGTCCAAGACATCAGTAAGCAGGCTGCAGTGTCACACTGCCTTTTTGTTATGGACATGCCAGGAAACAGTCCTGGAGCTGAACAAAGTTACTGGATAGAGCAGTGGCAAATTTAGCTCCAGCTGACATCCCTGACATGGCATCCTCTCAGGCTCCCATCCAAATACAAGGCTTATCTCTGGGGCCAAGGTGAGCCATGCTGGAGAGGCAAACAAGAAACAGAAGAGGACAAGTCCATGAGCAGTGAGGTCTGCTCTGCCCTGCTCCTGTGGGCTGCTCTGTCAGCACAGCAGCCTGTGTGACCATGCCAGAGCACTGGGGACAGCAGAGGAGCAGCTTTGCTGCTCCATCTCCTCAGGAAGAGTTTCCTGCATGGCAGGACTCCTGAGCTACTCTGCTCCCATAGTCAGGAAAACCTCATTAACTCTCAGAGGCAGCTAGGGGACACTTGTGTTTATTTATTCAGCACAGGCTGAAAAATGCCCTCATATGGCACAGACCACTGCTGCTACCTGTTCTGAACTTTGTCTGCAATCACCAGCCATGAGTTTTCTCTCTGCAGCTGCAAAAAAACTCCACAAAACACAAAAGTCTGATAGTAAAACTGGGCAGAAAGGGTGGCCTAGATGTCAAAGCTGGGAACCAGTTCTGCTGCATCCTGAGGCAGCAGCATGTAGAGACATCCAAAGCAAAGTTTAAATGAGTGTTAGGAACCCAAGTGCTCTCC